GGTTTTGGATAGTAATGACTCAACTGTAACTCTGAACTACATTTGGATCAGTATTCTAAAGTGAAGATCATGGTAACTCACTAGTAATAATTCAAATGTTTGAAAAATCCATCGGAACAAATTACTATCCAGAACCTTACAAAAACCTCAAACCATTTACAATAAGTTTAGTCATATAGTAGTTATTGATTAGTTAATAGTGAACTACCACATTCAATTAAGCACTATTACTTACTCATTCATTAATCAGAGTTTCTTGTTAGTTACTAGAGTGCTAGTGCGTTACTCATATGTTCCTGTATAGTTATTCATTAATGATGGAACAGTATTCTAAAGTATTACCCCATGTTTTATGAGGATATTCCAATGCCATAATGGTTTTATACTGTATAAACTGAATTTTTTTTATTTATTCATCACATTTTGACTTGATTGTCATCAAAAAGTTGGCAATTATGACCAAATTTTATAGCTCACCTTTTTAAACAATATGGTGGATTCTATCTCATTCAATTCAGAAATTGATACTCGTTCTGTTGTTTTTCTTTTCTTTTTCTATGGACAAGAATAGTATTCTTCATGCTACTAGTGCCCATCCCTCTTTTTTAAAGAAGGGTTTACCCTATACACAATTTCTTAGACTAAAGCGTATTTTTGTAATGAGGAATTGGATTTTGAGCAACAGGATGTGAAAATGTGCTTTATCCTTAGAGGTTATCCAAAAAATGGTTGGATGCTGCGTTAGATAAAGTTCGAGACATGTCATGTAAATCGATTAAACAACATAAAAAGTCACATTCTGTAGTTTGTACTACCACTTATTCGGCACATAGTCAAGCTATAAAGAATGCAATTAAAGGGGTTTTATATGATGCGATTTAAAGTTTTCCTTTCTCTTTGGAGTGTTACAAGCTGTTTGTGAATAGATAAGATCCCTAAAGTTTCAAAGACTAAAGTCTCAACCCCAAGAAGTTTGGAGGAAGTCATCTTCCCCAAGACTTGGGGAAGTCGTGGCCTAATGGTTAGAGAGTTGGACTCGTAACCCAAAGGTTGTGTTTGAGTCTCCGGTCCAGCAGGAATTGTAGGTGGGGGGAGTGAATGTACAGCACTCTCTTCCACCTTCAATACCACGACTGAGGTGCCCTTGAGCAAGGCACCGAACCTCCAACTGCTCCCCAGGCGCCGCAGCAAAAAAATGGCTGCTCACTACTCTGGGTGTGTGTTCACGGTGTGTGTGTGTGTGTGTTCACTGCTGTGTGTGTGCGCACTTTGGATGGGTTAAATGCTGTAGCGAATCAGCTCAAAGGGGGAATATGCATAATTAATCATAACTAGTTATAATTAATTATAAATATTTAGATCCGCTGTAAGTATTTACTTGACCTCTCAGGGTCAACTGTCTGTCAATTCTAAGAACGTTCATTTCCTGGTTAAGGGAAATAACTTTCTTACTGTACAATACTACACAGAGCATGTAGCAAAAATCTGCATGATTAGGGACTGTGATTATGAACAAACAATGACCAACCTCAGGTGTGATATAAGACTTTATTAACTACATAAACACTTAAACTAGTCTAACATACACACATACACACATACACACACATACAGTTGATATAGGAACAGGATTAAAGCTTAGGCTGTAAAGAGAAGGGAAATAAAACATGAAGCTATGGGACCATTGGATATTCAGCAGATCTACAGCCTGAAGGAAACATCAGTTTCTTAGTTCAAACACACCTTTGTAAAAAGGTGCGAATGATACCTAATGTATCAATTAATAAAACTAAGTTTCTCTGCTTGCATTCCTTTGGGCAATAAAACCAGTGATATCAGCATTGGTTGCCATGGAGCCAGAGGCCTGTTCTGCCTTTCCAAGGTATTAGGTGCATTTCAGGGGAAGGGTTCATAGACCCTCATATGGCTTGTTAACTGAGGGGTGTTACAGAGTATTTGTTAAATATAACACAAAAATATATATTGTGTGTCTGATTGGTCCATATGCTACAATGCAGAGCACTAATTCCAAGTATGGGTCACCATACTTGGCCACATGTTACGTCACTTTCACTTTTCACTTTCAAAGAGATATTCTATGTAAAAGTTAAGACTCGTCCACGCCCTCTTAAAACGCCTCATTTAAACATGCCCCCACATGTCTACGTCACTGTGTGGGAAGATTTGCATAACACCACCCAAATGTTCATGCAAAGAAAGAAGTAAAGAAAGAAACTTTGATTCTTGCTGTAGTATTGTTGCTGCCGCCACTGCCATGTCGTGGAGACACTGTGTGTTTCGTTGTGAAAGCGAAACTACTTTGTTTGGTCTTCCAAAAGAGGATACAACTAGTAATCAGTGGTTAAGTTGTATTTACAACACTGTTCCAGAACAGTTCAGACCAAATATTTGTGTGTGTGCAACGCATTTTACGGAGGACTGTTTCCCGAACCTGGGAGAGTAGCCTACAATGCCAGCTGTTCTGACTCACAGCCTGTAAGTACATTTTCATATTTAAAGAATTTGCCACTGACGACTCAAACACGAGTTTTGAGCAGTGTAGAATAGCGCTTGTTGTTTGTCATTTCTCCGATCACAAATGCAGACATGGTTTCATGATTACGCGGTGCGATGCAACGCGTAAAAAGACAGTATATGTCATTATAATCCATAATTATGTCCCCACTGGATGCAATAAATGCCTATTTTATAATGGGTTTTATTGGTTTTGTCTCATCGCTCCGGGACACGGCATCACAGTATGGTAAGGGGCATAACATTTCTGTCACGCGCTTGAGGTATTCGGCCAATCACAACACACTGGATAGCTGGCCAATCAGAGCACACCTCACATTTCAGAACGATGAGCTTTGTAAAAATCGATGCGTTTCAGAAAGGCGGGGCATGAAGGAGCAACAATAATGTACAGTATGTGGAAAATAATGTGGTTTTTTAACCTTTAACCCCATAAACACATTTCATTACACCAAATACACAAAAATAATGTTCTTTTTTAGCAACATCATATGACCTCTTTAAGAAAAATCAGTCCATATTAACTAGTGATCCAGTATGTGAGGACTTTTTTGCAGACCCGCCTCTTTTTGCTCATCGATGAGCTAGGAATATTAGAGATTTTTTTTAGTTAAATCTGATTCTTTCATTAAGGTTTGTTCTGATGGACGCATAAGTAAGAATGTTGGTTTCTTCTCCTGCTTAAGATGTGCAGCATGTAGACATATTCGTAGGAAATGTTTTTCTTTTCAAAATAGTATAACAAATCGTACTTATAAAATAAAACAGTTTGTGATATGTACTTCTACAAATGTTATCTATTTGTTGTCTTGTTCATGTGGTAAGCAATATGTAGGTAAGACTAATAGACAAGTTAAAACACGCATCATTGAACATTTGAGTGTGATTAGAAGAAATGACCAGAAATATCCAGTTGCACGCCTCTTTGATGAAATGTGTCATTCAGTCACTGATTTAAATTTTGTAGTTATAAATCGTATCACACAATCGTGGAGGGGAACATGGAGCGGAGAGACTTACAAAGGGAGAGTAAATGGATCTATGATCTCAAATGTTTATATCCTTGTGGTATGAATGAAGATTTTAATCTTGGTTGTTTTTTAAAGATTTTGGTGTATATTAATTTAGATTGATGTATGTGATTGATATATCTGTTTGAAATACTTATTCTAAGGTAGCCTATATTTTGGCATCTTTATATGTTATCTGTTATAATATCTTTATATTATATGATATTTTTTGATGTTGTGAATCTTTGTATAAAAACCTTTTTGTAGGGTTTATATATTTATATGATATGGGTGTATATATATATACACACAATTAATCCAGCAAGAATGCATGTCACACCTCTGTTTATCAAAACCACCACTGGCTCTGCACCCCTTAACCTAAATTCATTATTTCAGACTTATGTGCCCTCTAGAAGCTTGCATTCTGCAAGTGAACGACACTTAATTGTGCCATCCCAAAGAGGCACAAAATCACTTTCTCTGACTTTTAAATTAAATGTTCCCTCCTGGTGGAATGACCTGCCCAACTCAGTCCGAGCAGCTGAGTCCTTAACCATCTTCAAGAATCACATATCTTCCATCTTTATTTGACCCTCTAACTTTAGCACTCTCTATTCTAATTCTATTCTTAAAAAAAATAAAAAAATAAATAAAAACTTTTAGACGTGCAATCTATTTATTTACTAACTGCTTGTTTTTCTTAAAAAAAAACTAACACTTGCTTCTCTAATCTTTTTGCATTCTATCTATTTGTTTCTTTTTATTTATTACACAATTATAATTCTGACTTTCTGACTTCTGATTAACAAAAGCAAAAAAGGCCTCTAACACTAGCTTGATCTATTCTTTTTTTATTCTATCTGTTTTTTTATTTTTTATTATATGGTTTAAAAATATATATATATATATATATATATTATATATATATATCTTTTGCCTGTTTGTTGGTATATTTAAGGTCCGGAATATTAATGTAATTACGGTGATAGTGTTTAAATGAGTGCAGGTGTATACCTGGAAACACAACACTGATGAAGGGTTGATCACGAAAACGTTTAGCACTTTTTGCACCTTTTCACTTTGTGCAGTGTATTTTGGCCTCTGGATATTAAATGTCTTTTGAGCTTTTTTGGCATATTTTTCATGTGCGGATCTGTTGTTTGATTTTGGATTCATATGTTGGATTTACACACCTCAAAAAGCTTTTCTTTGATCTAGATTTGTGTCTGGCGCGACGCTGTTTGGCTTTTTTGCATGTGTATGTCTGCACACTGTAACTTTCAATACTTTTCTCAACAGGATTCTGTTCATTTACTGGGGGCATCTCACGTGAGTATGTTGTAATTCAGGAACAGAAGACTTGGAAACAGGCACAAGCTTACTGCAGAGAGAATCACATTGACCTGGCTACTGTTCAAAGTGATGAAGACTGGTTGAATCTACGAGAAGTAGTTCAAAAAATTACTAAAATGGCTTGGACTGGACTGTACAATGACATCAATAGCTGGCGGTGGTCTTATCAAAATCAGAAAATTGCATTTAGCACTTGGAGCTCTGGAGAACCAAACAACTATGGTGGATATGAGGCATGTGGTTTGATGCATGGTAGCTCATGGAATGATTATGATTGCAATGGTCTATATCCATTTTTTTGCTTCAATGGTAAGAAATGACAGAAGCAATGTTATTAATGTAAATATTTTGAGTGGACAATGTAGTAAGCAGCCTAGCATACTAATAAGGCATATTCCTCAAATCTTGCCCTGGAGGGCCAATGCCTTGCAGAGTTTAGGTCCGACCCTAATCAAACACACCTGAGCCAGCCCATGAAGGTCATCAGGATCCCTAGAAAATTACAGTTAAGTGAGTTTGTTCAGAGTTTGAGCTAAACTCTGCAGGGCAGTGGCCCCCGAGGACTAGATTTGAGGAAGCCCTGTAATAAGGTATAACAAATCTCTAACTGTCCAGGATAATCAAGGATAATTTAGCAGTTAACATGTTGCATTGCACACACAGGAAGTTGTAAGCAAAACAGCTTCACAACAGCTACAGTGAGCTCATTTTATGACAGTACTTTTACTTCTGTAATGTGGATGTTGGACATCACCAAATGGTATCCATAAGAATCAAATAATAACGGTGAAAACAAAGCCAGGAACTGATTGTGGAACTGATCACAAACCTTTAATGTGCAAGTTTAAAATTCAGCTTCGAAAGAAGAGAAGACAGCTGATGGTGCCAAAATTTTATTTGACCAGTATCCCGCAGGTGTTCTGGAGCAATCTACATAATCATTTTTCAGTACTGGGCACCACTGATAAAGAACCTGAGGAGCTATGGATGGACATACGAACTATAGTTAATGATGAAGCTGCAAAAACACTTGCCAAAAAGCAGAAAATACCTTCACAACCATGGATAACTGCCGATACTTTGAAGATTTTGGATAAAAGGCGAGCAGTCAATGCCAGTGGCAATCGGCAAGCAGCAAATAGGATCAGCAGGGAACTTAGGGAACTCAGGGAACAGAGTTTATTCCGACCCAGGAATGAAAAATTCCAATGGGACCAAGTTGACAGAGCCGGAAGAAATCAAAAACCAGTGGAAAGAATACACTGAGAACTCTACCAGAATAACCTGGGGGTAGAAGACGAAATTATGATTGTCTCTGTGATGCTATTGTCTAATGATGATGCTAAAGAATATGGGTGTGCCAATCCATCTGATCAACCTCATAAAAAGTCTCTATGAAGACCAAGAGGCCACAGTCAGACCTGAGTATGGAGAAACCCAGTGGTTTAGAGTGGAACGCGGAGTCAGACAAGGATGTATTCTATGACCATTTTTGTTCAACTTATATGCTAAAGTAATCTTCAGGAATGCCAAGCTTGCTGAAAGCGAAGAAGGAATTTGTATTGGGTGGCATAACATGAACAATCTCAGATATGCGGATGATACCACTTTGATAACGAGCAGCTCAGAGGGCATGAGGAATGTCTCTAGGTAAACGTATGTAACCCTGGTTCCCTGAGGGAACAAGACGCTGCGTCGAAAAAGCTTTGGGAACACCCCTGTATGCCCACACTCTGAATCACATGTGAAATCAGTCCAATGGAATGGTGAAATGTCACGGGCAGGGTGACGTAGAGATCAGAGAGCTTAAAAGTGCACCTGAAACAAGCAGCATTAGCTTTCGATAGTTGAAGCAAGTCACCCACAGGGATGCAGGAAGTATGGCAACACGACGGAGTGTCTCGTTCCCTCGGAGAACCAGGGTTACATACGTAACCTAGAGACGTTCCCCTTCAGGAACTCGAGCTGCGTCGAAAATGCTTTGGGAATGAGTATGCCCACGCCACCATACTGATAAATGCCTGTCTAGTGTGAAATCATGGCGAGCACCGCTAAGAAAGAAGCACCTGAAAGTCTGGAGCAGTACCATACTTCTCCTGGCCTCAAGCACAGTGAAATAAACATGTACCAACGGGTTTCGCCCCCAGTGAATGACCACCTAAAGGAATGTGGAAAGCAGCTATGGCCACCACGAACACTCTAAAGGTGGAGGGAGTCAAACCTGCGAAGAATCGTTCCTGCAGGAACTCCAGAACTGAACCAACTGGGCAGTTAACTGGGAGCAGCTGACGATTTCCGCACCATGAAGTGAACAACCCACTTCAAGGAGTACAGTTTCCTCGTGGAGGGAGCTCTGGAGTGGAGTATGGTCTCAACAACCTCAGTTGAGAGACTGGAAGCTACAAGTTGTGCCCCCTCAGGGGCCACACCCACAGTTTCCACAACTTTGGGTGGGGGTGAAAGATGGTGCCCCCCCCCTGAGAGAGGAGATTCCGCCGAATGGGAATCTCCCATGGAGTCTTCGAGTAGGGCTACCAGGTCTGCAAACCATGGCCGGCCAATATGGGGCTATTATTATGAGATGAACCCCGTCCTGGCGAACTCTCGCCAGAATTCCCAGGAGCAGAGCAATCGGGGAAGGCGTACAGACAAAGCCTCGGCCACGTCTGTACCATAGCATCCAGCCCCAGTGGAGCTGGATGCGTGAGGGAGAACCACAGGGGACATTGTGAGGTCTCTTGAGACGCAAACAAGTCTACTTGGGCTCGACCAAACTTCTTCCAAATCTGCTCCACCACCTTGGTGTGAAGCTTCCATTGCCCGGGCCTCAGTCCCTGCCTCGACAGGATGTCTGCTCCCTGATTGAGGTGTCCAGGGATGTACACTGCCCTCACGGAGAGCAGTTTCCCCTGGGACCACAGAAGGGTCTGGCCTTTACAGGCTGGCGCGAGCGTAGATCCCCCTGGCAGTTGATGTAAGAGACCACCGATGTGTTGTCTATGCGATCAAGCACATGATGGCCTCTCAGGTCTGGGAGAAATTGCTTCAATGCTCAAGACACGGCCAGAATCTCCAGGCAGTTGATGTGTCACATGAGATGGGGACCTTCCCACAGACCCTGGGTGGGCCACTCATGACCGCTCCCCAGTCCGTGAGGGAGGTGTCCGTCATTAGCATTACGCAACGACATGGAGCCCCCAAAACGGTGCCTTGTGACAGGAACCAAGGTTTCTTCCACATGTCTAAGGCACGTAAGCATCGCCGCGTGATCTTGATCATGTGAAGCGGGTTGCACCTCAGGGAAAACCCTTTGGTCTTGAGCCACCACTACAAGGGTCTCATGTACAGCAGGCCAAAAGGTATCACGTTGGACATAGCTGCCATCAGACCCAACAGTTTCTGGAACTGCTTCACAGTGAGTGACTAGCCTTCTCTCACTCTGACTGCCGTGAGGATCGCCTTGATCCGAGCAGGAGACAGACGTGCCTGCATCATGGTTGAATCCCACACTACGCCCAGATAAGTGGTCCTCTGTACTGGAGAAAACACACTTTTCTTTGCATTTAGTATTAAACCTAACTCTTTCATGTGAACGAGAACGACATCTCGATGCCAAACCACTATCTGCTCTGATTGAGCTAGTATCAACCAATCATTGATGTAATTCAGTATGGGGGATGCCCTGGAGTCGCAGAGGAGCCAGAGCAGCATCCACACACTTGGTGAAAGTGTGGGGTGAGAGTGCCAGACTGAACGGAAGAACCCAATATTGGTACGCTTTGCCCCCGAAAGCAAACCTCAGGAACTTCCTGTGTTGAGGAAGGATGGATATATGGAAGTATGTGTCCTTCAGATCTATCGTCACAAACCAGTCCTCTGACCTGATTTGAGACACGACCAGTTTGATCGTGAGCATTCTGAACTTGAGTCGCATGACTGAGTGGTTCAACAAACACAGATCTAAAATCGGACGTAACCTATCCTTCTTCGGAACGATGAAGTACCGGCTGTAGAACCCGGACTCTCTGTTGAGAGGAAGGACCATCTCGATGGCCTCCTTCCTCAAGAAAGTGTTGAAGCCTTCCTCAAGAAAGTCCTGAAGCCATAGGCGTCAGGACCTTTTAGTCGAAGACTATCTAGTGAGAATGATGGTCCGCAGATCTACTTTCTGCTTAGAAGCCTTCGGCCCGGGAACGCAGCTCTGACTCCAGATATACTGGGGGAGTATGAGAAGAGATGCTCCCCGAATGAGGAGCTGGAACACAGCTAGGGCTGCTCCCACCCAGCAGCCCCTGAGACCTGTATCCAGCATTGGAAAATGTTGGGGCCTTAGGGGTGATGCTGCAATGGGAACCGATATCCCACAGGCGTCTATCCCACCTTAGACATCACCCTATAAACCTACTCATTCAGCCCGGAAAATAGAAAAAAAAATGTAAAGGGCAGATGAGCTGGAATGAAAAATGGTTAAACCCATGCTCTCAACACCTCAGTGTGGAGACAGTGAAAACCGGTAGATATACCAACTCTTCATATTTTGCTGACCACATCAACCTCCTCAGAGGAAGAGACACCTTGCTCTGACTCGAGAATTTTTTATATACCAAGAGAGCGCTGTATTTAGAGAGTGAGGGAGGAGAAAGGATGAGGCCTGTCTCCGATCCCTCTGCTGAATAATATATATATATACATATATATATATATATATATATATGTATACAAAATATATATCTAAATTCTCAAACCCAGATGAATATTCATCATTTAATTCCTCAGACTTGAATGCAGCCAAACAACCAGACGGCCAAGTGAACACTGTCTGATTATAATATATAGGCTGCAAACACATTTATACATTTGCACACGTTTGGGGGAAAGAGAGTGAAAAGGAACCTCCCGTCTGCTTACTGATTCCCCCGACATTATTTGCTGCAGACCCGTAATGCCGTAAAGAGCCACTCAATTTTATAATGCATAAGACTTGAGAAGAAACACCAGCGGGAGCAGAGCTAAACATCCAAGGTAATGCACACTTGTACACTTAGGGACATTTTATGAATGAACACAGCCAGCCCACTCAAGAGCTGACTGTGCGTGCTCCGCTCCAAAACAAACCACACATAAATCACGTGCATCCCCACCCCTAATTATAGCGAGGGCAGGAAGAATCAAGCAATCTAAAATGCAGTATGCTTTTCATATGCAAAAGATTTAGATGGCGAGTCCTCAATCTCACATACATCATTGCTAACATCAACCTCCTCGGAGGAAGATAGCTGCAGCATAGAGCTCTCACTGAAAGAGGGAAGAGACCGCAGCGCGGGCTTCCGAACCTCGAGAGAGAGCACTAGATCCATTTGCGATCCCCGCGATCCCAATCGCTGTCGTGGCTCAGCAACAGCGGGACAGGAATCGTAGAGACCGTAGATGACCAGTACACTTACCAGCTGAATGGCGATGAAATAGAAGTTGTTAAGGACTTCAGGAACGAAGAAGGACGTTAAAGAAACAGGACAGTCGACAGATCATTGCATTTGAAATGTAGTGCTGGAGAAGAATTTTATCAATCCCATGGACCGCAAGAAGGACAAACAAATCAAGCCAGCAATATAATTCGAATCTCGGATTACACAATTACAACTCGCCTACTTTGGCCACATCATCAGGAGACATCAATCACTGGAAAAGGACATCATGCTTGGCCGAACAAAGAGAATAAGGAAACGAGGAAGGCCAGCAACTCGATGGCTCGATACAATCAGCACAATGTCAACACGGACACTGGCCGAGCTCAATCAACTTGCACAAGATAGATCTTCTTATAGATAATTTATCCATCAAGTCACTATGGCTTGGAACCGAGCTCTAACTAACTAACTAACTAACTAATGTGCATGAACGCAGAAAACAAGGGAATCGGGATCTAAATGTTGGGTACGTTTTAATAATAATAGAAATAACCTGCAAAACAGATATAAACAAGCGAGAACCAGGAAACAAGGGAGTACAACAAAACAGAACTGAAAGCAACTGCTCACAACATCCATGGAAGGACATGAACCAACAATAAACAAAGGAAACACTAGGGGTTATATACACATGGAGTAACAAGTTAATAAGACCTTGGAATAATCAGACTTTAAACATGGCACAGGAAACACTTCAACATAAAAATCCTGAAAGTTTAATGGAGAGGAAGATCACATTTTTATATATCAAGGGCTGCACTGAATATGTTAAACTGCATTTTAAATTACTTTGTATCGTCTTCCAGATTTGTACTGCTTCACAGTTTTCACTTGTTTTAAATGCTTTTCATTTTGGATTGCTCAATAGAAAATCCAACCATACTGTTGGATCTGATTTAAGGTATTTATGCACATGAGGCATTTCAAAACAGGTGATCACTACTTGTCATGTCTGGCTGCAGCATTGAAATTTAACCTGTGAAAATTACACTGTGTAAAAATAAACGCAATTTAACCTTTTTTTTGTTACAGAGAATGGAGCAAACAGGTTTGTTTTCATCAGTGATACCAAGACCTGGAAGGATGCTCAGAGCTACTGCAGACAGTATTACACAGATCTGGTCATCATTCAAAATCAAACTGAGAAAAACCAGCTGACTGTGCTGATGAGTCCATATGCAAGTGCTTGGATTGGTCTGTTCAGAGATGTGTGGAAATGGTCAGATGCAACGAATGTCTCCAGTGTCTCCTTTACAAGGTTGCATTTACAATCTGGGCTGCATAGTCCTTGTGGTGTTTCAGATCCTGGTGGTATAATCAGTTATCAGGACTGCTCAAACGTCCTTCCATTCCTCTGCATGCACCGTAAGTTTCATGTCTGGTCCTTAGCTACTGATTGTTCATTACAAACATTAGAAATGCACAATCCCTATCTGTCGGTTACTATGAGTTATGTTGTGACGACGTATGGGGTCTCACTTGGGAACCCAATCATCTCTGAGTTTAAGAGAAAACGCCAATGAGAACTGGCTTTTTGCATGCTGAGCCACTCCACGTGCATCCACTCGTTAGATTTTTGATTCGGAGCAGAGTAGTTGATGTTTATACTCACTACAAAGCCATTCATCTTTGTGTTGTGGAGGCTGGAGTCAGCAGTGATTCCCCTGGGCGCTTAAGCTAAAAGAGCAGTTTCCTCTAAAAGAGCAAATCACGGACGATTCGCGTCTTTTTCAAGATACTGTTTCATCTGTGTCCTTCTGGATGCGGTCGTTTCCTCTCCTCTGTCGATGGCCACAATCGCGGTCTTCAGTGTCTGGGCCTGCAGCATGCTGAAACGGCGCTCGTGCATGAGTCATGCGTCTATTGTGGGCCTATGACCATGGCATCGGTGCGATCACGTCTCTCTCTCCTCAAGGGGAGTGGAGCAGACCCCTCTGTTATTACCCGTCCTGGTTTCTATGCTACGAGCAGAGGACCGCCAGTTAGTACTCTGGGAGATCTGAGGGTTACAGTGAAGCTCGTTTCCTGATGGAGGGAACGGAGATGTTATGTCTCCATGCCACAACCTTGAACCATTCGCTGTTGCCGGGACACGTTCTCGGCTCCTCAGCATAAAACCTAATGAGTGGATGCACACTGTCACCTTATATACCCGCGTGCATGGGGAGTGGCTCAGCATGCAAAATCTACTAGCCAATTCTCATTGGCGATTTCTCTTAAACTCAGAGATGATTGGGTTCCCAAGTGAGACCCCATATGTCGTCACGACATAACGTCTCTGTTCCCTCCATCAGGGGACGAGGGTTACGTACGTAACCGAGACATTCTTCTAACCCTATTTGGTCAACAAGTGTATTCAAACTTTATATGTTAATTTGCCATCATACTTCTTTAATCATCTGTAACATCCAAAAAAAGTATATCAAAGATATAAATGTTTCTTTCTTCAAATTTTCAGTGGTCAGGAATAAATACCACTTCTTATATTGTAACAGGTACAAAGAAACAAATAGTAAGATTGAGGGTCAAATCTGGTCAGAATCTTAATGAGCCTGCAGTGATAAATGCTATCTTACAGTGGGTAAGTATTAAACAGTTTGTGATAAAACAGAGAATGGATAATCTGTAGTTTCACATTTCAGAAATAGGCTACTATACAATGTAATGCTCCATGAAGCATTAGTAGCACACATCCAATGTTATTATCTAATTTATATGTAATGTAATTTATTTTATTTTATTTAGCTGAAGCATTTGTGAGAATTCGGGTAACTGGAAGAGCCTTTGATCACTGATACAAGAAAGACAGTTAATACAATTAATGTGATTTATTAACAACAGACATGCAAGGAGTAAATACCACAACTATTAGTGATACCAATAAATTAATAATCATTGCTGATAGATAATAAATAAATAAACAAGAAGGAAGATACTAAATTAAATATTAGAAACAAATAACTGATGTGAACACAGGATGGATAAATGCAATGCTGTTTAACTGAATGTAGCAATGGAAGTCAATTGTAATGCTTCTTATGAGAAACAAAAATGGTGATCGATAACTGCTTATTTATCTTTAAATAAATAATATAGCTATTATTTGCAACAGTGACCCCAGGTAAATGTTATCTAAGCAACTTAGAAAAACTTATGCTATAAACTCTAGAAACATGTTTGGTAAGTTTCTATTTATGTTCCACAGTCGGGTAATCAGCCTGGCGGTAGAGACATCTTCCACTCAGAGGACATATTCATCCCTTTCTGACGAGGAGGGGATTGATATCTGGTGCCTTTCCATTCCTTGAATGTGATTGGCCACTGCTGTTACGAGTAGCATCACCAGTGGAAGACATCTCTATCGTCAGACTGATTACCAGACTGTGTAGAGCATAAATATAATCTAACTATATAAGTAATATAAATTAAATACAAATATAAAATAACCACAAAGAGAGGCCACAAAGATAAATGTTTACCCTAACCACAAAACCCACTGCTAAGGTTTACTTTGCGTATAAGTGTACTGTATGTATGTGAATAAGGTTTATATACCCAGCCTGCCACCGCACCACATACCTCCAAAGACACACAGTTAGATGACTGACAAAATTTGTAGTAGAGTGACCTTGAATGCCAAGAGGTGAAGTGAAAGACTGTGACCTTCAAAATCTGCACCCCAAGCTACTGACGTTCTCTGTCATAATTGCCTGGAGTTGCAATGGAGCCTAATCAGCATCCATGCACTTCACGAAGGTATGAGGTGCTAAGGCCAGGCCGTATGGAAGAACCTAGAATTGGTAAGCTTCCTATGTTCCAGAGTGCAGTTCAGAAGTATGCAAATCCCATGACCGGGTGTAAATTACAATCCTTCTTTGGTGTCATAAAATCTCTCGGCAGCCAACCATTGTGGGGAGCACTTCAGTTGAAATGAGGTTTAAAGAGCCTTACAAAAGAGAGCATCAGACTTTTATGACTAAAGAGAGATTGATAATGAAGGCTGACACAGTGATCCTTTATTGACCACCAGTTCCTCCTGTCGACCCTTTCTGACTTGGACATCACAGGTTGCTTTAGTCGTACCTCACAGGCAGATATTTCAAGGTTTCACAGAGAGGAGGAGTGTCTGAATCACATAAGCTAATCACATTAGCACCTCAATGTTCAGTGCTCACTTCTCTTCATTTCTCCATTTACACAACCTCACTGGGCATGATTACAAAGACACATGGCTTCTCCTAGCATTGCTATGCAGATGATACACAGCTATATCTGTTGTTTCAACCTGATTTTATTTAAGATGGCGCCGACGCTGATGGCTGCCTCCGTGGCGTGCTCTGCAGTTGTTTTTATGTTTTTGTCAGTTTGTCCTGTCTTTAGTTATATCCCTGCAATCAGTTTCACCAGAGACGAATTGCTGGACTTTCGGAAGTACACACCACCCGATATTTCACCGGTTTTCGACTATTCGGATGTTTTGCTGGACATTGTTGTCGGGGGAGCTGTGGCGCTGATTAAGCGCTTCAGGACGCGCAGACGGGGGAAGCGAGCCGGTGCGCTCGTGAAGCTCAGACAGTGCGGATTCAGGACACCGTTGCCGAGCATCCATCTGGCGAACCTCCGCTGAGCACCAGAGCGACCAGACACAGGAACAGTTTCTTCCCTCAGGCCATCCATCTCATGAACACTTGACAATAACCGTGGAACACACACAATTTATTCACTCATACACTTCTTTATCTAACACTCATACTCAGTCTACACCTCAAATTTGCACATAATATACAGTACCTGTACATACAAAAAAAACTGTCTATTGTAATATACCTGCACACACAATTGTCAATTTATATATTTTTATTCCTTATTTACTTGTTCTATTTTTATTTTTATTATCTGTGTTTTTTGTTCTGTCACTGTCATTCTGTTACACTGTGGAAGCTTCTGTCACGAAAACAAATTCCTCGTATGTGTAAACATACCTGGCAATAAAGCTCATTCTGATTCTGATTCTGATGACCCCACCACTTCAGTTCATATCAGTGTCTGCCTTTCAGCCAACTCAACTTTGATGAAGGAGTGCCATTTCCAGTTCAGTCTTGTGAAAACGGTGCTCCTTGTAATCCCTGCAAACCGCAACATCACTGTCCAGCTGGGGGTCTACAACACTAATATCAACCAGGAAAGCAAAGAACCTGGGATTGTATATGAAGACTAACTGCTTTTACACCCATATTTCGACAATGGCTCCGACATGTAGGTTTGTGCTTTACAACATCAGGATAATCAGACCCTTCCTGACACAATATGCTGCGAAGCTCTCTGGTGAAATGAGCTGCCAACCTATACCTGAACTGCTGAAACCACCACAACTTTTCAAAAAGTAACTGAAGACACTGCTTTTCCATCAGCATTTAATGACTCCACAATCCTAAGCCAATGCAATGCAACGTTTAAAAAATCATCTTCTTTCCCTTCTCTTCATTTCTCCTCTCCTCAGAAAAACTGTCATTTAAAACACACAGTTGGAGTGCTGTCACCAGAAATGCATAATGTGGTAGAACGGAAGCATGCACTGATTATAGTTTAAAATTGACTGTTGTTCTTTGAAATAACCAAGCACAATTTCAAGGACAGAGAGGACAACTTCAGATATATATATCCACAGTCTGATACTGATCTCTGAATTAGCCTGTCCTACAACAGGAGAATGTATATTCTGATTCAATATAAGAGGCCCAGCATGCACCATGGGCACATACCCTGTTGTAACCACAACATTGTGGTCATGTGAATTATATATAAACCAGCTTTTGGTCTCAAAATGGCTGAGTGACAACTTATTTTAGGGATTTTTTTCCCCAGCCCTGCTACACATTCTGGCAAAATCTTGATGTTTATTGCTAGAACATTTAAAGTCACACAAATAACTATTTCTTCTCATTTTAGTAACAGCATTGCAAATTGCTCATGTAATATTTAGTTTGTCCTTTAAAATGTAAAGCAAAAGTTGAAAAAGGTTTTTTTCCCTTTTTCCCAGGCCTTGTTATGTTGAAAGTGACAGTTACTAAGACAAGCAAAGAGAGTGTGAGTACCAGTAGTAATTCATAATAACGGATTGATATTTTTTTTTCTTTAGACAAAACAGAAGCTGGAGGAATGGGGGATAGAAAAGGAAACAAAACTGACATGGAGAGTTTAGTCAAATGGATAGGTGTTACGAGTTACATAATTTTAAGGTAATTTATCACATTATTGGGATTTTCAAGAAATAATAACTCTAACATTCTTCTCTGTAATGAATTTAAACACATCATATTACACTCTCCTTATGTACACCTAGTTTGAGCGTGCAACAGTGGTGGTCCTTGGCTCACTTTGACTCCAGCTGTCTGGTCAGAAGTATCAACATTGTTGCAGTACATATAAAAGTAGTAATTCTGTGCTGGTTGTGAAGTAGTACATGTAAATGTGTTGATATGATTATGATACATTGTAAACTCTTTCAACAATCTTAAAACAATTGAATGCTACTTTTATTTTAATTATTTAATTTGAGTTTTAAATAAATTATGTAATGAATTTAAACACATCATATTACACTCTCCTTATGTACACCTAGTTTGAGCGTGCAACAGTGGTGGTCCTTGGCTCACTTTGACTCCAGCTGTCTGGTCAGAAGTATCAACATTGTTGCAGTACATATAAAAGTAGTAATTCTGTGCTGGTTGTGAAGTAGTACATGTAAATGTGTTGATATGATTATGATACATTGTAAACTCTTTCAACAATCTTAAAACAATTGAATGCTACTTTTATTTTAATTATTTAATTTGAGTTTTATTTTAGCACAGCTATGATTTCATTGAATTGTAGGGGATGTAATTCTGTTTCCCAAAACAAATCACTTTGATTTGAGTTTTAAACAGATAACTAATGTTTTTTTATTTATTTATTCATCTGCTATTATGAAATGGCTAGTAGTGTTGGGTAAGATAATTTTCTGTGTACCATTCCATAAATAAATCACTTACAGCACTCTTAATACCAAGTCCCTTTGTACATATGCATGCAGACCTAAATTGGGCAAATTCGGATTTCAAGAACTGGCCTCTCTTCAATTCATGAGTATAAATTTGAGCTGAACTGACCACAACACATAGGATGTTGAATTGTTTAATATTCTGGAAAACACAAACCCACACCCACAGGCCTACATATAAAACAATGTACTGTAAGTCCATTCAAATTTATTAATTCCTATTTAGGGTTGCAAAAAGGCAGAAAGCTTTACAAATAAATAAATAAATAAAATTCTCCAGTTACTCACGTAACCTTGGTTCCCTGAAATGAGGATACAAGACATTGTGTCAGTAGCTTATGATATCAGTAAACACCTTCCTTCTAAATAATACTGAACTCTTATAACTGTAATTAAGGCAGATAACTGAAATTGACTGACCAATGGCTTTCAAGTGCACCATTCAACACAGCCAAGCACAGTAACACAGCCTGCTTAGGTGACGTATCATTCCTTCATCTCAGAAAACAGAGGTTATGTTAGTAACCCAAGATTGTTCCCTTTCGAATTCAGTTCACATAACCGTATACCTGATACTCTACAACCTTGTTGAGAGCAATGCCATTGTTGGTGCCTCTCACAGATTACAACAATTTATGCTGAGTGAACCAGGTGAGTTGTCGAGCTGGTTCTTTTTGGCAGAAAATGACACATCACCAGTAATGTTTTCTGGGCTACTGTAAACCACTCAGTAAAGTCCTCTATAGTGCCTCTGAAGAGGCCCTTGGTGGGTTCATATCTTCTTGCAGATTTTAATCTCCATCAGATTTAGGACAACAAATTTCTTCAGCCAATCAACTGCACCATTATTGTAGTAAAGCCAAGTCTATGGTGCTGCACAGCTCACGAAAGAACTCAAAGTCTGGGCCAGTCTCATCAATGGTTTTTAGGAGCTTGGCCTGGTAAACTGGTAAATGAATATCATGCTAAAAGTTAACATCAAACCTCACTCTCTTTGATTTTCCTTTGAAACAATCACTTTGTCAGATTTATATATATATATATATATATATATATATAGAATGAAATTTGTATATATGGAAAACAAGATATGGCTTTTATTATGCATTATGCAAATATGTTAACTTGAGATTTATGAACTTCGTGGAAATGGGAAATGCAAATGTTTCAGCTATTTTTCATGAAATATATATATATTTTTAGCACATTTAACTATGCAGATTGTGTCAAAGCAACTTTACAGTATTAAATAGGAAAATAGTGTGTCAATAATGCAAAATGACAATAGTAAACACTCAATTTTCAGTTAAAGGCAGTCCATCATTGAATTAAGTGATGTCCTTGCCGCTGTCGCCTCCGGCTTGCTTAGTTGGGGACACTTAATATCCAGCGATATCGTCGACTTGATTGTACAGATACTATTTAAACTGAACTGAGCTGGATGATGACATCACTGAATTCAATGATGAACTGCCTTTAACTGAAAATTGAGTGTTTACTATTGTCATTTTGCATTATTGATACTATTTTCCTAATTAATTCTGTACAGTTGCTTTGACACAATCTGTATTGTTAAAAGTGCTAAAGGTGACTTGACTTGACTTGGGGATCTGTCTCTGGGGCTTATCTAGTTGTTCTGCTCCGCTGACATTCAAGGCTGTAGCGGTCGTCTCTAGGTCCTGATCCACCATCTGTGCTGGATACGTACTGGATCCGGGTGACTGCAGTGACCATCTGATCTGGATACAGACTGGATCTGGTGGCTACGGTGACCTCGGAATAAGAAAGAAACAGACTTAATATTAGAGTAGATGCCATTCTTCTAACGATGTAGCAAGTACAGGTGCATCTCAATAAATTAGAATGTCGTGGAAAAGTTCATTTATTTCAGTAATTCAACTCAAATTGTGAAACTCGTGTATTAAATAAATTCAATGCACACAGACTGAAGTAGTTTAAGTCTTTGGTTCTTTTAATTGTGATGATTTTGGCTCACATTTAGGCCATTTTATATAAACATGTTCTTGGCCAAAGATCCTATATGTATGTCATCCATATCCTTATTGGTTAAAGGGTTGAAACTCTCCTCGACATATGCCTATATAATATCTTTGTTTCTATGAATAAATTACAGATCTCTCCATTCTTTGTAAGTGGGAAAACTTGAAAAATTGGCAGTGTATCAAATACTAATTTGCCCCACTGTAGATATATCTTTGAGATGGAAAAATGCAGTTTTACAAATGCTAGAAACGTGGCTTTGAAAGGAAAGATTGCTATCAAATAGAACACCTAGTTTCCTAACTGATGACGAAGAATTGACAAAGCAGCCATAGAGTCTTAGACAGTGTTCTAGGTTATTACATGCGGAGGTTTTAGGTCCGATAATTAACACCTCTGTTTTTTCAGAATTTAGCAGTAAGAAATTACTCGTCATCCAGTTTTTTATATCGACTATGCATTCCGTTAGTTTTTCGAATTGGTATGTTTTGCCAGGCTGTGAAGAAATATAGAGCTGAGTATCATCAGCATAACAGTGAAAGCTAACACCGTGTTTCCTGATGATATCTCCCAGGGGTAACATGTAAAGCGTGAAAAGTAACAGCCCTAGTACTGAGCCTTGAGGTACTCCATACTGCATTTGTGATCGATATGATATCTCTTCATTCACTGCTACGAATTAATGGCGGTCAGATAAGTATGACTGGAACCATGCTAATTCACTTCCACTAATGGCAACAAAGTTTTCTAGTCTATGCAAAAGAATGTTGTGGTCAATAGTGTCGAACGCAGCGCTAAGATCCAGTAGCACTAATAGAGAGATACAACCACGATCAGATGATGAGAGCAGGTCATTTGTAACTCTAATGAGAGCAGTCTGAGTACTATGATACAGTCTAAATCCTGAATGGAAATCCTCACAGATACAATTTTTCTCTAAGAAGGAATATAATTGTGAGGATACTACCTTTTCTAGTATCTTGGACAGAAAAGGGAGATTCGAGATCGGTCTGTAATTAACTACTTCTTTGTAGTTAATTACAGCGTCCGCCGCCATTCACGAGAGTAGCACAACACATGCGACAGACACTGACACGGAAGAGAAGAAATTGTTGAATAAAGTTCTTTTAGTTTTCTTTGTGCACAAAAAGTATTCTCGTATCTTCATAAAATTACGGTTGAACCACTGTTTTCACATAGATTATTTTAACGATCTCCAAAACGATGTTTCTGGGCCTTGAATGTGGTAGTTCCCTTGCTGACTATGCAGGGTCAGAGAGCTCTCAGATTTCAAAAATTTGGGTTCCGAAGATGAATGAAGGTCTTACGGGTTTGGAACGACTTGAGGGTAAGTAATTAATGACATAATTTACATTTTTGGGTGAACTATCCCTTTAAACTTGTCTGTGTTTGTTGTTAATGGATTTGCTACATTACCTATCTACAATAATCCAACATAACTTCATACATAGAATGTAACATGCCTGTTAACAGTTGGATTTTAAAATAGTTTATCAAATTTTAAATATAGTCTAAAAAAAATCTAGGCAGAGAGAATTCCATTCCAAGGTCTGTATTAAAGGATCCAAGCATTGTGGGTGTTGCGGATGAATAGGACCAAGGCCAGAGCTAACTTCATACAATGGAGATTTTATTACATCAAGAATACCAAACAACTCATAAGTCAACAGCAATAACACAGAACTCTCTCTATTACTCTGTCTACCTTTTACTTATCATGCTATGATACTGCCACATAGCAGTTATATGCAGAATCACAGTGTTTCACAGAACACAACATCTTCCCTCTCTGTTAAGAACATTTCCTCAGTAACAAACATATTTTCTACATGAACAGAATTATTGTCATAAAGCTGCAACAATAGTCACCCAAGAAGATAAATCAATAACCATAATAAATATCTGGCAATAACAACTGAAATTAAATTATTTCTTGTACATGAAACTTAGAACACCTGCAAAACAATATTTCTTATTTGACCTTGCATCAAAGCTAAAGCAATTCTAAACACTTCCATCACAGTCAATCACATTATGTAATCCTCATGCCACTTAGATTTAGATTTCATATATGACTGTTTTGGAGGAGTATTCAGAGTTGGTTGTGAAGAGGTTGGGTAGTGGGTAGTGTTAAAGGGGTCATATGG